GGAGAGGGGAGGAGGAGAGGGGAGGAGGAGAGGGGAGGAGGAGAGGGGAGGAGGAGAGGGGAGGAGGAGAGGGGAGGAGGAGAGGGGAGGAGGAGAGGGGAGGAGGAGAGGGGAGGAGGAGAGGGGAGGAGGAGAGGGGAGGAGGAGAGGGGAGGAGGAGAGGGGAGGAGGAGAGGGGAGGAGGAGAGGGGAGGAGAGGGGAGGAGGAGGAGGAAAACCGGAAACTGCGGTGGAGGGATTAGAACGGATAAAACCGCTCTCCTCCCCCCCCCCTCTCTCTCTCTCACTCACTCACTCACACACACACATACACACACGCGCACATCCCCCCCTTCCCCCCCTTGTTTCACCCGTGACAATGGTCAGCTCTCCGGGCGCCACCCGGTAGAAGGGGTCCAGGCAGCGCCAGCCCGTCGACACCCCCAGCTGGAGGGGGTCCTGGCGCTGGAAGTAGGCGGCGATCTGAAAGAGGTAAGGGAGGGAGGTAGAGCGAAGTAGTGCCAAGGAAAAAAATAGGACTTTACAATTAAGTTTAAGGGAGGGTGGGGTGGGGTGGGGTGGGGGGACGAAATGCAAAGCCAAGGAAAAAAACAGGGAGGTGGTTCGGGGGGAGCGCGTGTCGTAACTACGGGTAGGGAGGTACGACATGCCGGCACAAGAGGCCACCTCCCCCACCCGGGGTGAACTACCCCGAAACCGAAACCATCCAAGACCAGGGGAGCTTCCTGCCAACCCCAAAACTCCCCCCCTGCCACCCGTCCCATACACACACACACCCGCACGCGGGGGGTCTCACCTCCATTTCGAACTCCCGAAACGTGGCCAGTCCGGATACCTTGGCCGGCTGGGCGGACTCCAGTACGGCAACCAGCTGTTCCGGTCCGTCCAGCATCAGGACCTGGAGCGGAGGGGGTGGGTGAGGGGCCGGGTGGGTGGGTGGGAAATACGGTAGCGACGAGGAGGAAAAGCAACTGCGTCCACAGCTGCGGGCTGCTGACCGAGTCGAAAGCAATGACACGACACAATTTGGGGGCGTGAGACACCGGTTGGGTGATGGTGGGTTCAACCCCTCACCTCGTTGGCATCTTTCCTGAAGCCGCCCCGTCCCCGTCGGGGGAGAGCAGGGGGATGCAGCCCCGCAGCCGCCCCCTCCCCTCCGGCCGCCAGAAGCCCCGCAGCACCGGGAGGGACAGCAGCAGCAGCAGCAGCTAGGTGGAACCCTCCGGCCCCGTCAGCACCCGCCGCCGCCTCGGCCTCCTCGAGCGCCACCTCCTCCCTGCGCGGTGCGGTGCGGTTGGGTTGGGTGTGCACGCTCGGCGGTTAGTCTGGGCCCCTGCGCGGTGCGGTTGTGCAGGTCCGGTTCTCCCCCTCTTAAACAACCCCCCGGCGGGTGGCTCGGCTAGCAAACCCCTACCCGAGCCATGCATGCGTGCGCGGCTAGGCACCTCCCTCACCCCCTTTCCCTCACCCCCCCTCCCTCACCCCCATTCCCTCACCCCCCCTCCCTCACACCTCCCTCGCACCATTTCCCTCCCCCCTTCACCCCCCCTCCCTCGGCCCCAAACACATCCTCCCACGACACCCCCTCCCGCCATTCCCCCCTCCCCCCGCACCTACACCCCACACTCACTCGTTATCCCAGCTGACCACCTCCCAGCACCTCTCCCTTCCCAGCCGCCGCAGCAGCTCCCGCCGCAGCGCCCCCCCCGCGGGGTCGTTATCGGTGGCCAGGGTGAAGCGACAGCGACCCACATCCGCTGGCAGCGCCATCAGGAAGGAATCCAGGTAGGAGTAGTGGAGCTTGACGCGGGCGCGGAGCTGGTCACGTTCGCCGGGGCGGACGAAGAGCTGCTCCGGCGGGGAGGAAGGGGAGGCGGAGGTGGCGGCGGGGGCACCTGCCGGCAGGGTGGGTGGGTGGGTGGGGAAGATATGGTTTGTTTGGGTTGGATTGGAGGGGGCTCTGGGCGGGTCGGGTGGTGAATGCGTGGGGTGTGTGTGGGCGTCAAAGCAGAGGAGGGGTGGGATTACTGGACCTACACCCTACGCGCCTTCCCTTCTCCGTGCGCACACGCAGTTGCGCTCCCGCTCCCTTTCCCTGCCTTCCCCCCGTACCGTTAGGCACCGAAACCACGTTCCAGAACCCCGCCGCATTGAGCGCCAGTTTGTCCATCTCCCCCTCCACGATGATGATATCCCGGCAGT